CTGAAAATATCACCGATGTAATTACTAAATTTAAAAGTCAAATTGCAAAACAGTCCATTCCTCATGCAGCTGCAATGTAGTTACAGGATCTTTTAAAATGACATTACTATCCATTAATTAGAGACATAAGAAATATGACTACCTAATATCAGTTCAAAGAAAATTTGCATCATTATCTGACCAGGCCAAACCTTAACTAGTCAAGGCTGTTGGGGAATTCAAGATAATTTGTATGGTCGTTTGTTAATGTGCTTAGCTCATAAGGTCACCTATCTGCGCCATAAAAATCGACCTACTTACGCACGACATATTTACGCAACAAAGGAACCGATCCACACGACCCATAATTTATCAACTGAATCTCAGCCAGTAACATCAAAGCAAAACTGAGCAATCAGTGTATACAAAAAAGTCTTCTAGAAATTAAAGCGACTGATAAAGACTCTTCACTTTCCTTTAATGATTACTTCCGCTACGTGTAGTTCTCCAAACACCAGTCACTACTATATACCGACAAATGTCCTTCTCAGGACTATTCGGCTCACCCAGACGATCAGACAAAGTGATCAAAAGGAGTTGAGCAGGAACGCTAACAGTAGCCAACATCTCCCTCACTGATAACAAGCTCTCTATTGCTGTTAGAGAAATGCCGAACACTACTGATGAATCTACAAACTCCTCCTTTGAAGGAGGAGGTCATCAACCAAGTGTGGGGATGTCGGCAGTTTTCGTGGCCCTGAGCAGTTTCATCGCCATCACTGCATACGGTCGCGTTGATGGAGAAAAAAGTGTACACAGAAATTAATGGATAGTGTCTTCATTTTAATAGATTCTGTTTGAACTAGCTATGAAATGGATCCTTTTGCAATTGAACTTTCAAATATAGTAAAAACATTGGCGACAATTGTCGGTTTTGTCAAATTTGTTAGTTCTCAAAATCTTAAGCGTTGGAAGTTACTCTGACTGAATAAAAAGTATTTCAGTGCATTGACTGTAAATTCAAAGTATGTACTTGCGATCAAGAAAAGACAAAACTAGAACAACTTGTTCGAAAAATAGGATTTAAAGTCCTATTTACCATTTCCACCATCGATATAAAAATTTCAGTATAGAATTTTCTTTTCGTCAGGAGAGATGTTATAATAATATACAGGTTGGATCTGCATGGATATCTGTGATGCAGTCATTTCTTGTTTAAGCTGTGTTCCGATTCCTACTGGTGAGACGAAAGGATTGGTTGTTCCTTTTTTGCATGCAGAGAATCCTAGAATCATTTTGCGATCATGATGAAGAAGGGAAGTAATGAAAGTTCAGCAAATAAAAGGGAAAATAGCTGATGAAGTGTCAGTTTTTGTTAGATTTAGACGTCCTGTGCCAAGACATGATACATACATGTCACTTTTTAAATTTCAATATTTTTGTGAAGCGAAAAAATCCTCTGGACCACCCCAAGAAAGAAGAACTTGAATATCAGAAGCGTCTCATCTCGTAGATCACAGCCGGTTCTCCTTTCCACCGTAACAGACCGTCACAATCCACTACACACAGTAACAAGCCGTAACTGCACGTCACAGGTAGTAACTGGCCGTTACACACGGAAACAGATATCTGGAAACATTCAACAAGAACTTACGCAAAGGAGATTTGCCATTTTAAGAGAGACTTGTCGAGAAAACACACATCCGAAACTTCAACAGCACTCCTTTCTTCTTCGTACAAATGCCATCCCATCCGTGAATTTCCATACTTGGAATACCCATAAAAAATTCCACTGTGATTATTTATTTGAAGATTTGTACCAAGCACTGGAACAGAAACAATAGGACATGGGTCCCCTACGAGGTTTAAGCTCCAACAAACCCACCCATCCCGCCCCAGGGGAGGACATCCATCACACAGTAATCTCGTG